AATAATATTTAAAACAAATAAATCAAATTTAATCATGTGCACATACATACATGACTGCATTGCAAAGCTCTGTTCACATAAATTTGAAATCTAAATAGTTTTTCTATACATAGAAATCGACCCCATTTCAGTTATTAATCTTTTTTTTTTTTTTTTTTTGGTACCAGGAATCAAACTCGGGTCCTTGCGCTTGCGCAGCAGGCCGCGAAACCACTGAGCTAAATCCCCGGCCCTGCTTTTTATTTTTTATGTTTTTATTTTTGGGATTTTTTGGAGACAGGGTCTTCCTATGTAGTTCAGGATAGCCCTGAACTCACTATATTGCCCAGGCTGGCCTCAAATTCATGGCAATCCTCCTGTCTCAGCCTCAGCCTCTCAAGTGCTAGGTCTGTATGTATGCATCACCGTGTTTGGTATGATCTGCTTTTTAGATTGAGGTGAAATAGACTAGTCTTTTAAAAATTTTATCAGAAAACTCTTGTGCTCTATTTTATGAAGACACTATCCAAGTAAGAGCAAAATGGGTATCAACCTAACAGTGCTATAGGTTTGATCAGTGATGTGGAAAAAAAAAAGACATTTTGGATGCCCCATAAATGGATAAAACAATTTAACAAAAGAGGTATTTTAATTGAAAATTAAATTTGACTAAGTAATATAAAAACTTAGAAAGCTTACAAATCTAATAAATTCAAATAAAGGAATCTCAGAGTAGTTAATAAATTCAGCTTCATTGAGAGTATACTTTGTTAAGTGGGACTATTTGCTAAAATATTTTTGCGTTTTAACTGAGATGTAATTGTACATACTTGTGCTACAAAAACAATTCCTTCCCCACATTAGAATTTTATAATCTAAGTCTGAGCTGAAAATTTCACTACAGAAAGTCCAAGAATCATCAAGCACTACAAGACTTAACTGAAATTATATTTTCTCTAGATGTAAAATTGACAACACTTGTTTTACTAATATACTAAACACTAGTATTTACTAATATAAACATAAATTAATTTAGAATGTAAACAACAAACCAAGTTGTACAAACCAATTAAAATAAAGGCAATATATTTAAATATCTTTAGTATAACACTAAAGTATTTAGAATCTCTTTCCAGGTATCTTAGGAAAGAAAATCAGAAAGGTCAACAGCCCCCCTTCCCAAGGAGCCCCTGAACTCACCATCTGTAAGATGGCTCCATACAGCCGCAGGAGCACTTTCCTAGGTTCATCGCCCACAGAGGCCGTGGTGTCAGGTAGGGAGCACTGGAACAGCATGTTACTGAGGCCGCCCCTGTGGGAACCAGAAGACAGTGAGGACTTGTGCTACGAGGTCAAACATGTCTCTCCATGGGTAGATAATGTACACATGAGAAGTCAGGGTTATACAAGAACTGTTCTCATCTAAGCTCCCTGTATTCTCTCAGGATACGTGGAACATCAATGATGAGCTCCACTTTTCAATTAGTTCCATGAGTCACATTTAAAGAGAGATAAATTCCTAATCTGTTTCATTTTTTTAAAGTGTGGAGTTCGGGAGTATTTTGTTTTTGGTACTGGGGATAGAACTCCGGACCTTGTGCTTACAAGGCAGGTGCAGAGCCACTGAGCTAAATCCCCAGCCCCTTGTTTTTGTTTTTTAAATGAAATTGCCTGTATGTACCTAGAGAATGACAAGAACCGAAGAGGACCCTCCTCAGCCCTAGGAATGGGGACATCCCATATGCATGGATTCCCATATGCAGGCTCATACTCTTTTAGAATTCAAGATTTCCATTATACAATCTCATCTCCTGGGGTTTTCTGTTGTTTTGTTTTGTGGTGCTGGGATGGAACCCAGGACCTCATGCACATGCTTAGCAAGGACTCTACCACTGAGCTACCCCTCAGCCCCACCACTGTATTTCATAATCACCCTATAAAATCTTGGGGCAAGCCAGGGTGCTACTGCACACCTGTAATCCCAGGCACTAAGAGGATGAGGCAGGAAGACTCCAAGTAAGACTATTACCAGGGGGAAGAAATTGGGGGCAATATTCAAACCTTCTTCTACAGGCTTCCCACTTAGTTTGTGGTTCCAAGACCTACCTTCTCTCGGCTAGTGTTAGTAAAAATTATTCAACTGATTTTGAATCTCTTTTGCAACATTAACTGGTTATTGGGATTCTCCATAAAGCCAAAAGAGACCTCAATATCCTACAGTCAGATTCAGCTGTCTACCAAGACCAAAAGCAAGTTACAGAGCCATTTACGCAGGAAAAGAACAGCCTTGGGACAAATTATCCGCCTGAGTTGAAAATGATCAAGTACAGAAGGTTAGTTATGCAATAAATGCAGAAAACAAAATTCTACACAATTAACAATTACAGATAAGATGTACTTCAGCTGTGACAGACTTCAGAGTTCCTAAATTCTATTCTTTTTTTCCCCCAGTACCGGGGAATAGAACTCAGGACTTTACGCTTGCGAGGCAGGCATGGCACCACTGAGCTACATCTCCGGCCCTCTAAATTCTATTTTTAACTAGTCAATAAATCTTAGGTACTATTTACATAAGCAAAGCACTACAGTAGAAAGCACAGGCAACACCAAAGTCAAAACATGAAGCCATATACCAGTAATCCCAGCACTCTGGAAGGCTGAAGCAGGAGCATCTCAAGTTCAAGCCCAGCCAGGGCAATTTAGTGACTAGTAAGACTGTCTCAAAACTTAAGAGCCAGACATGGTGGCACATGCTTATAATTCCAGCACTCAGGCGGCTGAGGCAGGAGGACTGCTTCAAGTTTGAGGCCAGACAGAGCTACACAGTGAGTTCAAGGACAGACAGAACCACATAGCAAGAACCAAAAATAAAGAAATAAAAAGGGCTAAGATGTAAAGCAGTGCCAAGGCCCTTAGGTTCACTCCCTAATACTGCAAAAGGAAAACCCAGCTGAAACATGCTCTGGTCCTTCCCTTCAAGAAATTTCTGCTTTGCCAGGTGCAGTGGTACACACCTGTAATCCTAGCAACTGGGGAGGCTGAGGCAGGAAGATTAAAGTTTGAGGGCAGGCCAGGCAACTTAGCAAGACCAGGTCTCAAAAAGGGCTAGCTAGAGATAGCTCAGTAGTAGAGTGCCCCTGGAATGGATCCCCAGTACTTTAAAAGAAAGAAAAGAGGAAAGAAGAAAAAGAAAAAAAAAACTTCTAATGGAGAGAAAAGACCCAAAACTTTAAGAAACAGCACAGATTTGTTATCTTATGGTTCTGGAGTTCAGAAGTCTGAAAATGGGTCTTACAATGGCTAGTATTAAGGTGATGGCAGGACTACAGATCAGCACACACAAGATACTGTAACTGGAAACAGATGCTGACTGGGCACTATTATAAGGGCTTTTAGAGGGGACAGAGGATCATTATTTAATGGGGATGGAATTTCAGTTTGAGAAGAAAAAGTTCATGGACATTACAACAACAACTATACAGTTAAGAACAGTTAAAATGGTAAACTTTGTGGAGTACGAAGTCACCCTGGGCCACCCAGCAAGACTTTCTCTTCTCTCCTGGTTCCCTCTTTTGTGTGTGTGTGTGTGTGTGTGTGTGTGTGTGTGTGTGTGTGTGTGTGTGTGTGTGTGTTACTAGGGATTGAACCCAGCCAGGGCCTTCAAATCGAGCTACATCCATAGTCCTTTTTTATTTTGAGACAGTCTTGCCAAGTCACTAAATTGCCCAGGCTGAACTTGAACTTGGGATCTGTTTGCCTCAGCCTCCCAGGATGCTGGGATTATAAGCATGTGCCACCATGCCTGGCTTCTTGTCTTTCGCTTTTTGTGGTATGAGGGATTAAATCTAGGAGTGCTGAGCTACATCCCCATCGCTCTCTTTTTTTTTTTTGGTACTGGGGATCAAACTCGGGACCTGGCGCTTGCGAGGCAGGTGGTGGAACCACTGAGCTAAATCCCTGGCCCCCCCATCTCTTTTAAATTTTGGTTTTGGTTGGGGTTTTTTTGTTGTTTTTTTTTGGTATTGGGGATCAAACTCAGGACCTTGCAAGTCAGGAGGGGTGCCACTGAGCTAAATCCCCAGCCCCCTTTTAAATTTTAAGTTAAGACAGATTCTCAGTGAACTGCCCCAGCTGGCCTCAAACTTGTTATCCTCATGCCTCAGGATTACAGATTTGTGCCGCTGCTCCTACAAGACCTTGCATATTAAAAAGAATAAAGTGGGTCCGGGATTTAGCTCAGTGGTTCCGTCGCTTGCCTTGCAGCAAGCACAAGGACCCGAGTTCAATCCCTGGCACCAATAAATAAATAAATAGAATAAAGTGCTGATACAAGCACTACATGCTACCTTATGGATGAACCTTAAAAGCATTACACTAACTGAAAAAAGCTATTCACAAAACTCCACATATTATGTCACTACATTCACATGAAATGTTCAGAACAGGGAATCTATAGCAAGTGAAAGTACATTAGTGGTTGCCAGGGACTGGGATGGGAGGGAGGAGGTAGGAGGTGGCAACAAAGGCGGCAAAAGGGACAGGATTTCCTTTTGAGATGATGAAAATGTTCTAAGATCAACTTTGGTGATGGCTGCTTGTATCTGCAAATATACTAAAAAGCACTTAATTGCATACTTTAAATGAGTGAATATCCCTGTGGAGCACAACACTAATTTTGTCTTAAAGGCATATAAATGTGGGTCTGTCAGACCCTCGTTTATTCTTTAGAATATTTCCATTGATGAATTATTAATTTTAATCTTATGAGTTATTATATTAAACTGAGTACTTAGCAGGAAAAAAAAATCACAAAAATAAAGTATTGAATTTTTATGACTTATTGAGTATTTATTTAAAAAGTATCAAAATTTTCAACATCAACTGTTTTTTGGTGTTCAAAGTCTAAAAGAGAACAACACAAATAAATTCTTATGTGAAAAACAATGAAAACACCAACAGCACTTTACAAAAAAAACCTTCAATTATGACAGCTAAGGCAGTCTGCACATATGACAACAACAGGTTCCATACACACGTATCGCCTACAGTGACAGCACATGTGTTTTGCTTTCCTGGCCTTTTTGTAGGACATAATTGACATCTCATTGGTCTTGCTGTTTTGTCAGGAGTTTCTTATATCATACAGTGTGTAGTTAATAGGAACATAAAATATCAATGAAATATTAAATTCTTAATATGTATTGTGTGCTTAGAATAGACATCAACATTTTCACATCAGCTGTGTACTTGCTTATAAAACCCTAAGCAATAACATCAGAAATAAATTCCTATATGAACTACAATGAAAATACCAATAGAGGGCCGGGGATTTAACTCAATGGTTCCGCTGCCTGCCTTGCAAGCACAAGGTCCCGAGTTTGATCCCTGGTACCAAAAAAAAATACCATAGAACTCTACAACAAAAATAAGCTTTGCTTGGGCTGGGAATTTAGCTCAGTGGTGCCGCTGCCTGCCTCACAAGCACGAGGTCCTGAGTTTGATCCCCAGTACCAAAAAAATCAAACAAAAAAACTAAGCTTTGCTTCAATTGTCACTCCCAAGGCAGTCTTCACACAGACAACTGCATGTTCCATGCACGTGTCTCGCTTACTCTGACAGCACATGTGCTCAGCTTTCCTTTCCTACATGGCAGGCCATTCTTTTTTTTTTGGCACCGAGGATCGAACTCAGGACCTTGCACTTGCGAGGCAGGCACCGGCGTCACTAAGCTAAATCCTCAGCCCTAGCAGGCCATTCTTGTCACCTCTCTTCCTGTTTTGTCAGGAGCTTCCTACTGTATTGTATAACATGCACTTAGCAGGGAAATAAGATAGTAGTAAAATAAAATATCAAATATGTAATGTGTGCTTAGAATAGACATCAACATTTTCACATCAGCTGTTTATGTGCTTACAAAACTTAAGAGAACATCAGAAATAAAAACCTATGTGAAGGGCCGGGGGTTTAGCTCAGTGGTACTACTGCCTGCTTTACAAGTGCAAAGTCCTGAATTCGATCCCCAGTACCAAAAAAACCCCAAAAAACCCTATGTGAACTACAATGTAAACACAAATAAAAGTCTACCACAGAAATAACCTTTGCTTTAACTGTCACACCCAAGGCAGTCTTCACACATGGCAACTGCATGTTCCAAATACAAGTATCACTTACACTGATAGCACGTATGGTTTGTTTTCCTGTCCTTTCTTATAGGGCACAATCGACAGGTTTTCCTGTTGTAATAGGTCTTTGTGAAACTGCACCTGTCTGTTCACCTATCAGCTCAGCAGTAAGCGCCACAATTTTTCTGTG